CTTTCTTCCATGACTGTTAGACTTGTTGAAATCCTTGATAGTAGACGTTAATGAAATTTCTTAGAACAGTAGCGTTTTTGTCAGGTATTGGGTAAGTTTTCAGGCTAAACTGTTTGGTACCATTTAATTATCTGGTATATTAGAAGGACTGAGCATTTAAGGAGCAAGGCAGTGGTTTTCAAAGTGTGGTCCAAGAACCTCTGGGGGTCCCCAAAATTTTCTCAGGGTTTCTGCAGGGTCCTCTGTCTTCCAGTGACATGTACAAGGCTGGATTTTCTATATATATTTTTTAACCAATACAATATGTCATAACAAATTGAATGTAGCATCATATATGACATATATGAAAATCCAGCTGTCTTCTACTATGCCAGAGAGATTTACAGTGCAAAGCAATGCAACTTTTTTAGTATGTTTTTTTAAAATATATAATTTTTTTCAAAAATTTAAAAAACCAGGATAGTATTTTTATTGCTATTTTAATATGAATACAATATTTAAAAAACTGTTTTAATTTCTAATTCGGTAACTATCAATAGACAAGCACCTCGGAAATTTCCAAGAATATAAAGAGATCCTGATACCAAAAAGTTGGAAAACCACTGGAGTAAGGCATCTCTGAACTATTGAATTATTGCCCGTCCCATTTTTCACTACCAACCTCTCTTTCTTGCCAACTAACATCTGAAAACTCCTTAGCCAAAAATACTTGACAGCAGAGAAGTTGAAAATTTACTTTTAAAGCCCATATTTTTTTAGTATATTTTAAAATTATAAATAGATTCTTGGGGCTTCAGGTTGAGACTTTAGCACCCTGATGTTTATTATAATTAAAATGTGGTTGGGAAATTCCAGAACATTCTCCTATCTACATTCTTTTTTTTTTCCCCCTCCTTTCCTTTTGGGAGTGCTATTTTTAATAGCTGAATTAACAGGTCAGGAGAGGCACTCCAGACCCTGAACAAAATGGCAAGCAGTAAGTGATAGTGACTTTTTCCCCAAAGATTTTTGGCAGATTTTGAGTTATCTTTAAGCAGTAGATTAGTTGGGGGGACTGAATTTATAATTCTTTTTCTGTCTTCTATTTATGAGCCTAAATTAGTATTTTAATTTTGCTTACACGATTGTTAATAGGTATTTATTTGGGGTATGAGTTTTCTTGGAGTTTTCTTGGTATGAGTTTTGAGACATGGAAAATATGCCAGTGGCGATTGTTTCTTAGGTTTTCTTTTTTTATAATTTATAAAAGAATTTATAATTCTTTTTCTGTTAATAGGTATTTATTTGGGGCATGAGTTTTCTTGGTTTTGAGACATGGAAAATATGCCAGTGGTGATTGTTTCTTAGGTTTTCTTTTTTTTTTTAATAGTGAAAGGATTCTTTATTTTTAGGCTTATTGACTGATAACTTTTACTATTACCTGAACTAAACTACAGATTAAAGTTATGGAGATGATAAATCTTTTAACCCTTTGCACTCGGATATTGAGTGTGGATAATGTCGAGTAGATAATGAGAAAAAAGCAAGCGAGTGCAAAGGGTTATTAATCTTGCCATTCCTTTGCAGGTGTGTGTGGTAGGGAGATGGGAGGGGGCACTACTAATTCTTTAGAATTTAAACTTAAATTGAGCTGATTAATTCAGGGGAAATTCTTATTAAACAGGTATTAAATGTGCACCTACTTGGCTCTGGCCGTGATGAACAGGAGAGACTATAGATTTTGCTACCATGGAGTTTACAGTCTAGTTAGAGAGACAGATGTTCAAAAGCACACACAGGTGTGAATATGTAATTATTAATTGTGATGATTTCTGTGAGTGAAAATTAACAAAATGGGATATGGAAGTGAGAAGAGAGTGTTTAAGGGTTTAGTCAAGCTTCTGGAAGGAAGTGACATTTGAGTTGAGATTTGAAGGATGAGCAGGAATTCGTCCAAGTTGGGCCTTGGGAAAGGGCCTATTGCAGGGAGCATCACGTGCGAAGGTCCACAGGTAGGCAGGAAGCAGGCTGGCTCAAGTGACTGGAACAATAGACAGCGGAGACTAAGGGAACTAAGGGATAAGGTGAGAACCAAGGGGGCTTCAAGGCCATGAAGATAGAGAGGTGAGTAGAGGGCTTAGGGTGCCCTACCACAGTTCTGACCCCCCATGGAACCTCCCTCACCCTCTTTATCATTCAGAGAAGAATAAGAAAATGATGAGCCTGACATTGTCTGTTCCTAGTGGTTCTTCCTTAAATGCTTTACTAGAGAAAAAGTAATAATATGCAGTTCGATCTGACATGAAGCAGTCTCCTCAAACTGGAAGTTTAAAAATATTTGAAAAATGGATTTGTATCCACTGTCATATATAATAAACATCATCCTGAGTGCCTAGAGATTTGCATCAATGATAGTATGATGCTACGGTATTGCCATTAACAATGCCTTAAATATTTCATCTTTAGTTTTTTTTAATTTCTATTTTTTTGTGTGTGTCTTATAATATGTACTTTTTATTTTATATAAAACACACAACCAACTTGCATATTGAGGATGCACCAAAAAACTTTTTTTTAACTAATGGGATATATTAACTAAAGCCATTGAAAAACCACTGAACTAAACTGTTTCTTATCTCAGTCTTACCTTTGAATTCCCAGTCCTTCATTCATTAATGTTTTCATCCACTCGAAACCTACTGAGAGCCTACCATGTGTTACACATTAGAAACCTAAAATGATAAAGACATACAAATGTGGTCATTGCTATCGTGGAGCTCACAAGATCTATGGCACCTTGCATTAATAACATACTCAATCTCTAGTTTCTTTAATGGTTTTAGAACACTTGTCATTTGGGGAGGGCTCATTTTCATTATGACTAGCCAATATAATTCTGCTTAAATGGACCTCCAAAACTATAGTGCATGGCTGTGCTCCATAAGCAAATTGTACCCGCCCTTTCGCATTAGGTAACTCCTACTCTTTCTGACAGATACCTTTTCTGGACTGTCACAGGCAGCTAAGATAGAGAAGGCTCAAGTTATTTACCACTTTATTAGATTGTAACAGTTTTATAAAAATGAAATTTTGTTACTTTCATTTCATAGCTCAGTGAATGACCCTTACTTGACCCTTGGATGTGCCTACCTGTTTTGGAGATGAGTGGGCCAGTACTTGAGATTACCGTAGACAAATGGTTATGATTCAGAGTGGTGTGGACCGGTGCTGGGGGCTGAAATCACTGCAGGCAGAGGGCTGTTTCACCAAGTGCTTCCCTTTGAGCTAGACCCTGTATGGCAGGAGTAGGGGATTGGGTAGCAGAGGCGTAGAGGAGGAGGAGGTTCAGGGCAGTTGAAGCAGAGGGGAACAAACAGCTTATCTCTGCTAAACAGCCCAGAGAAGTGTTGGATGAGGCAGCCTCAGATTGTTAGGGTCCAAGATGAGAGATTTGTATGTCCCCAAAAGGGTCCACCATAGAAAAGATCTATATGGACATGGAAATAATAATAATAACAAAAACAGTAAAAGGGGCTTGCTCAAGATTCATATACTTTTTAAAAATTTTTTATTATTTTTTTTTTTGAGACAGAGTCTCACTCTGTTGCCCGGGCTAGAGTGCCGTGGCATCAGCCTAGCTCACAGCAACCTCAAACTCCTAGGCTCAAGCAATCCTCCTGCCTTAGCCTCCCGGGGAGTAGCTGGGACTACAGGCATGCGCCACCATGCCTGGTTAATTTTTTCTATATATTTTTAGTTGTTAGACGGGGTCTTGCTCTTGCTCAGGCTGGGCTCGAACTCCTGAGCTCAAATAATCCTCCCACCTCCACCTCCCAGAGTGCTAGGATTATAGGTGTGAGCCACGGAGCCTGGCCTCAAGTTTCATATATTTTTAAAGATATGAAAGGAAGGTATATAAAAATCCACCTACTTCATTCCTCATCTTGCTATTACAGGAAGGATAGACTGAAATATAATTATGGAAAAAGAAATAAGTTAAAATGAGGGGTAGTAAGAAGTATTGGGGATATAGGGAGTAAACAGACTACCAACTAAAAATTTTAATAACGGTCAGAAGAGCAACACTCCAAACAAGTTAGATAGCAACAGGCTATTGTTCTTTGTTGTAAAGCTACAAGAGAAAGATAACACACAAACTTATTCATTAAAGGACTTTACCCCTTTACCATCTAGAAAATTGCAACTCACCAAACTTCCATCATATTTTTGATGTTTTGTGGGAATTATTCAAATGGAAGAGTTCTTTATTATAGTCCTTTGACCCCCAAAATTGAGCTTCTACCAATGAAGTTTGTAGGCCAATACCCACTTGAAATTTATATCAAATATCTTCTTTTCTCTAGGTAATAATTTCATATTTTATAGATTTACATGATTTCTTATTTTAAAACTCTTCCTGTCTTAGTTGTGTCTATCCACTGTTAAATTTGAAGTTAATGTAGAAATGGATTGCTTTGCCACAGATGAGGTATAAGGCTTTTTGTGATTTTTTGTTGTTGTTCTTTTTTTGTTTTGGGGCTATATGAGTATGTAGGTTGCTCCACCTCCAACCTTTTTAAAGGAGAAGCAAGGCTCCAACATAGTAATTTGGCTTGAATTATTCAATCGCTTGATCTTTAACATGATGTTAGAATTGTCTATTTATGCTTCTCAGGGTTTTTAATTTAGTGCCAATTTTGCATTCAATAGGGTAAAATAAAATTCAAACCCAAAATCTTTTGGGAATGCCTAGACTTAGTTTTTCATTTCCTTACTGATTTCTTGCTAAGAGGAGACTCTGAGAAAGTAGCCTTAGAGTGGCTACCAGTTGGAGGTAATATGTTTAGATTTATGTAAAGGATACATGTTACACGTGGTAAGTAAGACATAAGGCGATTAATGGGCAGGATTTGTATGAAAGGCCTTGAATGGCAGTTTGAAGGCGGTGTGCTCACTTTGATTTGTCATCCTGCAGTTAGATTTTTTGTTCTGCTTACATCTCTTCTTTTTTTCCTCCACAGTTATACAATGGTAGATGGAGTAATGATTCTTCCTGTGCTAGTGATGATTGCTTTCCCTTCCCCGAGTATGGAAGGTAAGTGACTCACAGACATTTGGGTTATGATAAGTACACTGGATTGTTCGGCTTACTGTAAGCTAGTTCTTAATCCTATCAGATTGAACACATACTTTTCATAATAAATATTGGGTAATGCCCCTTGACTATTTTAAAGTGAAATTCTTCTACATACTTTATCTTAATTTTTACATATATGTAATTTTAGAAAATTCAATATAATTTCCTACCTGGAATAAATATAAAGGAGAAATAAAGATAAAATTCTATAATTAACAATAAAACAATATGTATAAACAAATGTGATACATTCTGGTGTAGTCAGGCAAGAGTACACTAAAAGATGTAATGAAGTAGAGCATGTTTGGACCTGTATAGGTAATACTCTGACATCTTCAAAAACAGATTGGTATTGGTGGCTTCATTGTCACCAATCAATGGTCTTACCTTCAGTGATTGAATTTTCTGAATTGGTGAACAAATTTTAATGGAATCCCAAGAAAACAGAACTGTTGGCCCTTGATTTATATAGTAGTAATATTTTTGGAAAATTTAATATACATTAAGACAGTATATGACATACTCTGTGTTTTTATGTATGACAGACCTAGAAACTAGGTGCAGTTAATTATTATTCATATAAATGGATGCTCAGTGGGATAGTCAAAAATTGTGAGGGCATAGGCTATGTCTTAGCCTATTCGGGCTGCTATAACAAAAATCCATAAACTAGGTGGCTCATTAAACAATAAACATTCATTTCTCACAGTTCTGGAGGCTGGGAAGTCCAAGTTCAAGGTGCTGACAGATTCAGTGTCTCACAAGGGCATGTTCCTCATGGACAAAATCTTCTCTGTGTTCTTTCATATTGGAAGGGGCTAGCTAGCTTTCTGGGGTCTGTTTTATAAGGGTACTAATCCCAATCATGAGGGTTTTTCCTTCATGACCTAATCATCTCCCAAAGGCCGTACCTCCTAATATCATCACCTTGGATGTTAGGATATCAACATGAATTTTGGCGGTGCCACAAACATCAGATCGTAGCAGACTAATTCTTAGTTGTGTGGTACCACCTGGCATTATAGGACCTTTGGCATCTCTGGCCCTTGCTTACTCACTTTCACTACCCGCCCAACCCCTACAGCCCCCATTTCTAAAAAGTTGCTTATGGATGGTGCTGCCACTGTTGAAGAACACAAAACAGAAAATCAAAAGGAAAGATAGTAAAAGTTACTCATAATACCCGGAACTTACATGCAGGGAAAGTGCTTTTAACATGTTGGTATATATTTTTCTAGATATATAAAATATAAACAAATCCTATTGTGCAATGACCAGTGCTGACATTATTTTACAAGGGTTCCTCCATAAAGAGGAAGCAGTGCTTATAGTGTGAAGCTCAGCCTTGCTGTGATCAGATGTAACAGTAAGACTAAGGCCCCTGTTACAGGCTCTTTGGGATATAGTGGTTCACTTTGTATAACCAATATTTCCAAGGAGGCATATAATTTGACAAGTTAGTATAGCCAACACTATGGAAAAGTCAGTGCTTAAGATACTAGAAATCTATTCAGTTATAAGGTTTATAATATTTGATCTCTTCATACCTCCTTTGCATATTTGACATTTATTATACATCTCCATTTTCTTATATGGTAGCCAATAGTCACATGTAGCACTTGAAATGTGGCTAATATGAGTGGAAACATTCTGTAAGTGTAAAGTACAAATTAGATTTTCAAGACAATTTTGGGAAAATGTTAATTTCACCTCTTTCTCTTTACTACTGTGAAAAAATTTAGAATTATATTAGGTGGCACACACTTTGTTTTTATTGGATGTTGCTGTTATAGACCAATTTAGATATCTAGAGTCTAGATTCTGCCCTAAGCAATGTTGTTAAAGATATTCCAATAATATGGCAATTGTGTCAATTAGTGCCAAGAAGGTGTGGAAAAAGGATTCTGTGTGGCAATGTTGAAGGAATTAATAAGAGGAAATAGGCTTATATTAAAGCTCGGAAGATTTGATGATTTAACAGTGGTTTTCAATTGGGGCTGATTTAACCTCTCAGGAGACACTTGATAGTTTCTGGAGCCATTTATAACAGGCAAGTTTCTAGGAATTTTTTCCTCTTTTAAGTTGCTAAGCAATATGATTAAAAATCTGAAGAATGTTGAGGACTAAAGTCCAGATTTGTACCCTTCCCTATGTACCATATAAATTCTGTGTGGTATTATGCAGTTCCTTTGGGTTTCTGTTGATATCGTGGGTAGACCTGTGGTGCAGGCAAGATAGAAAAAAAAAAAAAAAGAGTGGAAGAGAAATAGAGGTAGAAATGTAGTGTGAAGAGAGAAGGCGAAGTGGAGAAAGAATGGGGAAAAGAGAGAGGGCAAAAAGGCATTTATGGAACAATGGTAACAAACATGCCATTGGTTATTTTCTTCTGCTTTGAGTTCTTAATCTATCCAAGAATCCAGCAAATGATCTCTTAATGCTGCAGTGAAAACATGTCATGAAACCAGTTAGTTTGGGCTAAAATGGAAATGAATTGCCACTAAAGTATTGCTATTTGATACACCACTACACCAGGATGTTTACAAGTATGGAAGAGAGCACATCATCATATATAGAAGGTATGTGGTTTTTATATATTTACTAGGAATTTATAAAAACCATTGAGAAACTATTTCTAATATATTCAACATTATACTCTCTAATATACGCAACATTAGTTATAAAGCAAATGTTATATACAAATACTTAACCAAAACACGGCAATATTAGGGCAGATAATGAAAATTTTTATAATAGCACTGTAGCTTGTGTGGTGCTGAGCTTTGGATTACCAAATTTAAAAAGAAACAGACCCATATTTGATGTTTACAGAGCATCTAGGGCATCTTATTCGTTGTGCTTCAGTGAAGGTGGATCACGTTCTTAGGGCATAAATAAGAAAGTCTTAGAGATTTTGTTCTAATATATTTTGTTTGGTAATGTACTCTTCTTAGTCCATTACAAAAACAAACAACTTTTACCCTTTTGTCTCCAAAATATCTCTTAAAGATTTATTAGAAATAATGGTAACAATTCAAATAATAGGTTCAAAACATTGATTTTGGTAGAATTGAATGTATTTCAGAACACTTGTCAAGTTCTATGGAGCCCTAAATGCCCTTGGCAAAAGAAAAGATTTTTTTTTTTTTTTTTTGCCAAATAAGTTTGGAAAATACTGCCTACTGTAACTACCTCTTTGATGATTATAGGTAATATTTAATGGGTGCGTAATATGTGCCAGGTGTCTGGCTAACTGCTTTTATGCATTATTGCACACAATCTTCACAATTACCCTAATGAGACAGGTTTTTATGGATGTGCTTTTGGATTGGTTAAAGCTCTTGCTTAAGGTTACTCAGCAAACAAAAGGCATGATATAGTGTTTAAGGGCTTCAGTCATTATCATTCCTCTTCATAATTTTGCATTTTTTTTTTTTTGGTGCCCTAAATTAGCTATATCCACATTCATGTAATTTCTGGTGCATACTAGAATCCAGCTCAATCTGGTCTATTTGAGAGGGTGAGAAGAGAGCTTGTAATAGCAAGTGATGAGGCCCCTTCATTTGGGTTTGTGTTTAACTTCTCTTGTCTCTCCTACCAGTAATAATTTTTCATGTTCATTATATATACAGCTTTAGCTGCAGGAAGAGTTTTATTTGCTCTCACAGAGAAGAGCACTTAAGTCCTAATTACCTGTATATCCTTCCCTTTCCTCCCCATTAATAAGACTAATCATGCTCTAATACCACTATTATACCACCGGGGCGAAGGCAGAACCTCCATGTTTGGTTTTTCTTTTGTCACTGTACACATTTGCAGGTGAAGACTATGACACAAATACTTAAAATGGATTATCGCTTCTTTGGAAATACTGCAAAGCCAAGACAACCCACATTTTATTAAATTTGTAAGCTACAGTTAGATTTTATTATAGGAAAGAAGGCTGGACTTAATGCAGAGTTTTGTTGCAAGAGATTTTGGCTTGTTCTGGAGAAGATTGGTAGGCAGTAAATTATTTTCCTAGTTGACTTGATTTTAGTATTTCCAAAGCCATCACCACTCAGACTTTCCAGCCCAATTACCCAGTGAGGGAAAGAAGGGGTAACTTCAATGGACTTTTTGTTAGGGTCCACAAAGGTGCCCCTCTTTGCCACTGGGGGTAGGAATAGAATAAGCCTTTCTTTGAATTTCTCATTATTAATGATTCAGGGAGTTCTTCAAGGGGTGAATGAATGTAATGGAAATGTCTTAGTATTAAATTTGTTGCTCTCATTTCTCATTACTCATTTCTCGTAGTTTATCCCTTTTGTTCAGAATAAAATCTTTTTCTTTGACATATCATCAAGTGAGAGACTTTTTAGGGAGAGACATGAGAGATACTGAGCGATTTGCCACTGCCAGGACCTAGAATGTAAATATCTGATGAAGCTGCACACTTTTAGGATATTGCTTCTTTATTGTTAAATTTTCTTATGTAACAAAATGATCGTACTTTAGTTGATGCAAGGTGAGCTATGGCAAAGCTTCCTATTAGCCTTTCCTTCCTGGGAAATGTTTGTTTCAGCCATGGGTAGTTAAACTGGAGCCACATACATTTTTTTTTTTCCTAAGTGGATGGTATAAGAGAAGTGTGGGTAGCAGTAGGGTGTGGGAGGACTCTAAAAATTCAATCAAATAAAGTCAAATATTGAACAGATGGAAAAACAAGTTCAATAGCCAAGCTCATGAAATGATTTCTTTGTGGTCAACAGTGAGTGTGCAGTGCACAAGCTTCTAAGCTTTCTCTTTTATAAAGACAGGTCTCAAGAATGAGAGGATAGACGCATTCTCCTCTTTATGGAAAAATGAATAAAGGAAGAGGTTCGTAGGAATATCATATGCAACTTCCACTCTGGAAAAAGAAAATGCAAGGGAAAATAAAACACACTTACAAACTAATCAGCAACACTCCAAACCCTGCA